AATCAAAATAGACATTTACTCTCTGTGAAAATATATTTCACAGACAACGAATGTCTGTAGCATCATTATTTATTCTCTTCCACAACTATTCAAAATTAGCGCAACCTTGTTCAATTTTTTTATTTAATAGATCCTCAAACACTTTTAAAAAACAAAAATCTTACAAAATAGCAAATATTCAATATCTATGCAACTTCATTGTAAAAATTCTATGAGATAGTTTCTCACAGACACCATATACCTGTGTGGTTCTTAAAATAATGAAATATCATTATTTTACAAAAATATTAAATCAGACTCCAAGAAGTCACAAATAAACATCTAAGACCAACAATAATCATAATAAGAAGTTTTTACACGGATTTGATTTGAACAAATCAAAAGATTGAGGTGTTGATGGTGACGGGGAAGGAGCAGACGACGACGGAGTTGATGCAGCACGGCGATGGATAAGGTGGTGGTGGCAACCACAGGGAAGAGACCGCCGGCGGAGGAGATGACGCAGCCCTAGGAAATCGATGCTTTTGGTCGAAGAAGAGACAGACGGTTGCTTCTCATCTCTAGTGGTCTATTTTGTGGTGAAAAAGAAAAAGGGGGGAGGGGGGAGGGGGTATATGGGGTACAAGCTGGGGTACACATGTGGTGTACCCCTAGCACATCCGTAATTGTCACTTTTTTTACTCTAAGTAGTTGGTGGCTCGCGTAATCGCGTGTTTGCCCGTGCGTGGATTATGACACTAAACAGTCTAGTCTCCAATGCTTTCGTGAGAGATCTTTGGCATGCAAATTGGACTTCGACATTGGTGGTTTGCGCATAGACTAAGACGTTCAACAATTACACTTCTTGGTCATACATTCGAAGGTTGATACATAATTTGGTATTAACAAATCATGCATGGATCTAAACATTTGGCATTTGGAACTCTTACTGCATCTATTAATTTCTTTCTCACTTTCCTTTTTGGACCGCCCTAAAATTTCTTTCTCGTTTCCTATTTTGGCAACGAAATTTTAATGAATGTACCCTCATGCCCCTACTGTTTATCAATACTATTCACTGTATTCTATCACATCAAGGACAAACATGGAAAATTTGTATATTTTTTAACTTTTTTTAATCTCCGTGCCAAGTCAAAAGGGGAAAAAAAATTTGGATGGGAGGACTAATAGGCTTTTTGGACTTATGGCTTTAGGCATTTTGTGTTTTGTGCTTGTTTGGAACATTGCATCTCATGATCTGGCCTCATAGTTTGATATCCTATTACATCACAATTGACACTCTACACTCGTCTATATTGAGAATTATTTTATGCTCATGGCATCACATATTGCCACTTTTGAATTCAAACCTCACTTGCAGTTATGGTGCAATTGGGTTCAAAGTTTTAGTAATTTTATCAGGAATAGCAATTTTAGTCATCATCCCTTGTAAGAATGCCCATTGACGAAGAGGGGATCTTTCGTTGAAGGCCAAAACACATATAACGAAGAGGGGAAACCCGCTCATCACATTGCGGGTGTTATTCGGGTTTGGGCCTAGACCTGACCCATTGACGTACAAGCCTGACTGCAAGAGGCTTCACGAGCGGTACACGCTTGGGGACTACTATGACAACCAAGATGCGTCCACTCTACGTCTCATCCCCAAACTGCACGGTTTTTTAATGGTCTTGCATCTGAAGGGGGTGTTTGGATGTGATCAGTGTCTACAAAATAAGTGATTACTTTGACAACAAAATTTAGAAACATCTCAGATGTAACAAGTTGTTCAGACTTCAACTATGAAATTTTTCCTTTAGAGTTCAAAGCATGCAGAAAACAAACATAAAAAACTGCAAAAAAAAAAACCTGAAAAAAAACAGAAAAAAAAACGCAAATCAAAACAGAGGGAGAAGACGCCTGCGTCAGCGAACCTGCGTCTGGGAGAGGAAGAAGACACCTGCGTGAGAGTCGAAGAAAGAACCGGATAAAAAAAAGAGAAGGGCAGCTTACCTGGGTTTATCGCCAATTCGGCAGTAGCCCATTTAACACTATTAAGAGGTTAATTACCTCACTCCACCTCCTCTTACCCATCTCAATTTTTTCTCCCAAACAAGGTATCATAGTAAACTTAACCTCACCCTACCTCCACCTACCTCAATCCAAACACACACTAAGACGCAAGTGCAAAGTAATCATGAGTTGAAAATGTATACTGGTCCCGGATGCAATTTATATAAGGACAAATCTAATTAACAAGATCAAAGATGACACAGCTAGTGTCTCACAGACAATAATTCTTCACCAATAACTATTGTTTGTGCGAAAAAGTAGGGCTTATGGTATCTTACAGTCGCTTGATGTGGTGAACGAGAGCAGACTGTCAACAACCGCATAGTCTGAGGGTAAGATGGAGAACAGACTCATTCTCAACATTGTAGTCCACAAGCGTGCAATGGTCCTCAAGCTGCTTGCCAGCGAAGATGAGCCGCTGCTGGTTAGGCGGAATGCCCTCCAACTCCTCAATCTGTTCCTTCACCTCAGCAATGGTGTCTGATGGTTCAACCTCCAGGGCAATTTTCTTGCACGTGGCGGTTTTGGCAAAGATCTTCATTGTTGCTCGATTCTTGTTCTTCCTCACACCCATATGCCCCCTGGCAGTATTAGTAAAAGATTCTGGAGCTCTCTTTGCAGCAACCACATACACATGAACAGGCTGAGGAACCGCGTTGGCTTCCAAAAACCACTTCCAGGATGGATTGTCGGTGAGTGGAATTGAAACAAACACGACTTTCCCGCCCGGAACAGTAGTCGGGTACTTCCCAAACAGACTGAGACTTGTGTCCACATCTTCATCATCGGCGTCCATTGCAGCACGCACTTCACCCAGCATCTCAATGAAGCTGCTGTGGCTGCGACTCAAGAAACACATGGTTTTGGGTGGCTCTGAATAATCTACGGACCCGAGGTATCCGTTCTTTATAATTTCACCTCCCCAATAAACCAATGTGGGAACCCGATCACCATTTCCTGTGTTAAGAAATATTTCAAACTTACAATGGATACAAGGCTGGGGATTTTTTAAGATTGAGCACTGTAACAAAACAAAAATGGTCACAATGTACCTGCCATTTCCTCTCTTTGCCCTCCAATCCAAGTGTTTAACTCTGTAATATGGATGTATAGATGTATGAATTCATAAAGAACAGAGAAATAACACAGCACGAGCGCGAACACGCACACAAAGAGAAAAACCGCAAATGAAAAACTAGCACAGCAACACACCAAGCAAAGGCATGTAAAAGCACAAGTAGTCAAATAAATAAGAATATAAGATGCAACTAGTAACCCTTAATCTAATAAAACAACTATTAGAAAACAATGAAGGAAACAACTCAACTAAAGAGCTTGAGCTTGTAGTTGTAGGCCTAGGAAAGTTTTATGCTCAAAGGTCGGCTCACGGATAAGCAAGATTTGTGGGTTTTTGCACATGAACATTAATTTTTAAAAATTGGATGGCTATGAGGTTCGAACTTCGAACCATGACCTCTAGGTCAATCCTATGTCAAGGAACCACAACCAGAAAAGAGCAAACTTGTGGGCTGTTCTAAAACACGCACTAGACATTTCTATGAACAAGGAAATCCAATTTTCCAAATTAATCAAATCAAGGTCCACAAAGATTTTGAAATTGAAAGATTTTTTTTAATATAATTAAAGTCAGATTCGAAAACCAGCAAGTAAGGAAGATTTTAAAATTAAAAGATTTGTTTAATAGAATAAAAGACAAAAGTTGAACAATTTTATTTTAATATGGAAAGCTTCGGAAATCAGTGAGGAAGTCTGAATTGAGGTTACCTCGAGCTCGATTATTCAGAGAGGCGGATATGAAGCCGAAGATCGACCTGCGCAAAAAAATCTTGAGATTACCCTAATATGCCCCGGTCTTATCTGAGTTGGTAAAACCCTGTTTGGTTGAAAAAAAAAACCCTAGCTCAATTGTTAGGAACCGAACCGCGCAATGCTCAATGGGTTTGTTTGGTTGTAAGGAATGAGACCAGAGATGAGGGAATGTAAACCCTTGTTTGGTATAAGTGATAAAAAAAATACGGACTCAACATATTATTTTGAACTAGATAGAAATAAAACCAAATTGAAAAATGAATTTTCAAATAGTTAAAGCGAATTATTTTTCCAAAATGAATGGAAGTGTTCTCAAAATGGTACGGGATGAGTTCTCAATTGAAAATACCGAATAAAACCATCATTGCTAAAATGTTAAATTATTAAATTAATTAGTGTTTTTATTTGTTATTTTTAGTAAATTTAAGTCATGGTGTGAGTTTAATATACTTAAACTTATTTTCTATAGTATTTTATTACTCCGGATTATCACTCAAATTATAGTTTCATTTGTTGAAAAATTGTAGCTAAATAATACAATTATTGAGTAAAAGTACACAAAAATATTGCACTGATTTTTTTAAATTACGTCATTTGTTTTTTATGAATAAAAATATTTTCAAAACGTTGAAGTAACATGGTATTATTTGGCATTAATATTGCATAGTATCATTCTGTTTCCGAACAACATGGTACCGAATATGTTTCAGCTTAATACTGAAACAATACCAAACTGTTTATATAATAACGATATGGTACATATTCTTAAAAACACCAAACCATCCCGAATGGTGATCTTGTTCTTGTTCTTCTGTCAATTTTCTCTATATAGTGTCATTAAAAATAAATTTATGACCATAATTCGAAAAAAATACACAGTTTTGGCAAGGATGGACTGTGGGTGGAAATAAAAACATTAAGATGCATGACCAAAAATCCAAAATAGTAAAATCCCATTGAGAAGCCTCAAACAAAATCCAACCTTCAAATATCTCCACATGCCTTTCTACACAGAAAGCTAAATCACAGTCACATATCCATTCAGAATACCAAGCTAAACATAAACTCCCATCCCCAGAATTACTAGCAAAACCCAAGGCTTAATCAAGCAAGCAAGAAACACTCAATCTTTGAACCCACCACGGAGGCAGAGGACTAGATGGAGGGTGGAGTCCTTCACGACGTTGTACTCTGCCAGAGTGCGGTGGTCCTCGACCAGCCTGCCCAAAAAAGTGAGCCGCTGCTGGTCGGGCAGCATCCCTTCACTGACCTGAATCTTTTCCTTCACACTGTAGATGGTGTCGGATGGTTCAACCTGAAGAGCAACCGTCGTCCCTCTCAGCGTCCTCACAAAGATCTGCATTGCCGCGCCGCTGGTCTTCTGATTCCACTTGTTCCTTCTCAACTCAACCAAATCAACCAATTTCATCCTTACTCTAGAAGACAAATCTTGGTGTTTCGACAACCCTTCCATCTCTTCAAAATACGAATCCATTTGGTCGTTCCTAGGTCCAGTTTGGTCCAAGAAATCTCCAAAACTATCCATAAAATGGCAGAGAGCTTCAATGTCTTCCTCATCTGTTTTTTCGCGATCCCCAATCAATTTCACAATGCAGCTATGAATGGAGCTTTCGGTTATCAGCTTTTTCTTGTACAACTCCCCAATCAGTCTCACATTCCCAAGCTTCCTCCTCATAAGAGTCCAATTTTCATTTTGAGTAGCAAAATCTCTAACCCTTTTGCATCTCTCCATGCCTCTCCTCTCAAACTCCTCCTCACAGCGATTAATAAGCAATTTACTAAACGTTATCTTTTCGGGTTCCTCCTCAGGAGGCATGATGAAGTTAAGCTGGTGGCAAATATCTGCAAGCATCTCACAAAAACTTGGCACCATCACAGCTTTGTCATATGCTTGGGAAACAAAACCAGAAAAAGTGGCAACATTCATATCCTCTCCCTTATCTGATGAACCGACACCACACCGGATAACTGGTCCTCCCTGGCCAAAACACAAACCAGCCGGGAAAGCGTCACAGTACACATGAACCGGTTGGGAAAGCAAAGCCTTCTCCAGAAACCACTGCCACGAATGGTCATCGGTTAGGGGAATTGACACAAACACCACTTTATCTCCGGGAATACTCATTGGATACCTTCCACACAACACAAGAGCAGTGGTGTTCGTTCCATCAGTTTTCATTTCGGCGTGCACTTTTGCCACCAGCTCATCGTGCCTGACGGTGCGGCTCAAGAAACACAGGCATTTCGCCTGCCCACTGTAATCCACAGACCCTAGATCTCCACGGTGTACTGTTTCCCCTCCCCAAAACAATAGCAGAGCAAATTGATCACCATTACCTACATTGAACATTGCAATGTGACTACTATATAAATAAAAATCAACATCAGGTAACAACAGGTTAATGATTTATACAAATTACAAATTTGATTTCATATGAAAACAATTTCTCATACCTGTCATCTTATCTCTTTGCTTTCCCAGGGCTTCAAGTAAATCCTACTGAAAGAGAAATAAAATTCAAAATTCATCAAATCTTCTGATGTGAGTACAATGAGTTACACGAACTATTTAAGTGTGAAAATACGAAACGACCTCACAATTTTCAAGGAATAATAAACCCTTAGTATTCTGTGTAATTGTCTCGGCACTTGATTAAGTGAAAACTTACGGTCGGAGCGAAGGCTGGTACCGGAGCTTGTACCGGAAATTGCGTCTGGAATCGAAGCGAAGAGGGGACCAGTGATGAGACGAAAGTGGTGACTGGGAGAAGGAAACGATCAAATTACTGCAAGAAGGCTCTCGAACATTTATTCTGCAACTCTTATTTCTTACTCCCAAATTTTTCAATTTCTTTGGTTTCTTCTAACTTGTTTTAGTTTTATCAAATTTCTTAATCCCTCAATCCTAAAATATTTGTCACATATCCTAAAATATTTGTCACATTTGCTTTTTCAGCAGTCGCATGAACATTTGTTTATTTCTACCTTTTTCATTAATTTTTTGATAAAATAAAATATTCTTGACACCTCTTATTTCGAAAAACTTTTTACGTAGTTTTTTGATATGTAAATTTTACTACTTATTTTTTATTTCTATACCAATATGTAAATAAAATCAACTGAAAAAACTTAATATTTTACCTCGGTAATAGAAATGTGACAAATATTTAGGAACGGAGGGAGTACTTTTTTTTTTCTTCGTGACAAATATATGAGACATCTCTTATAGGTGTTCCACAAATTACTTGTCCCCAAAAGGAAACATTGACAACACGTCGTCTATAACGTTGTGAGCCGAACACCCAACAACTTCTACACGAGCCAAATACTACTACTGCAGACTTATAATATAATGCACGTATACACACGTTCGTCAAAGGACGCGGAGAAGAATGGGGGAGTGGCTCTGCACATTGTATTCGCCAAGTGTACGGTTGTCCTCAAGCTCCAAGTCTGCAAGGAGGAGCCTCTGCTGGCACAGCAGGTACCCTCTATGGTACTTGATCATTGCCTTCATATTTAAGACAGTGTGGGACAATTTAACTTTTATAGTAAATGGCGGGTGTGGCTTCGAGACACCCACATGGAGTGTCATTGCTAGGCCAGGGGTTTTAGGCTCCCACTTGTTGTTTCTCAGTCCAACCAAATGAGCCAACATTTGCTTTACTCTAGAGGAGAAATCCGGGTGGTTTGACAATTTAATCATCTTTTCAAAGTACATATCCATCACCGTAAGCTCCTTAGCTTGGGGGTTGTCCATGGATTCACCAACTCTGTACATCAGCTTGCAGAGGGCTTCAATCTCTTCTTCTTCTGGATTTTCATACTCCCACAATATTTTCTTGATGCAGCTGTGCACGATTCCTTCATCTAGCAGCTTTTTCACGTATAGTTCCGCGATTAATTTAACATTGCCCAACATCAGTTTTTCTTTGCCTCTCTGTAGTTCTTTATGGCAACAATTCGAGAGACATCTCGCAAAGTTGAGCTCCTCCCCATCCACGGTAAATCCAGGCAACATACAATTAAGCGCAATGCAAGTATCTACCAACATCTCACAGAATGTAGGCTCCACGACAGCTTTGTTGTATGCCATTCTAGCGAAAGCAACAAGAGATTTAACATTGTCAATGTTAACATCTTTCACTTGTTCAAGCACCCGCAGAGAATTTCGAGGAGTTAACTGACTCAGGAGAACTTCCAACCTTAGAGCCGTTTGCTCATTTTCAAAAGCAGCATTTGGTGTAGCAGACACAACAGGAGTTGTAACCGTGGCTGGTGTAGCAGCCGCAGCAGGAGCTGTAACGGTGGTTGGTGTAGCAATGGTAGCTGGTGTAGTATCGACAGCATGTGTTGAAGAACTAACAGCAGCAGAATCTGTAGCAGTGGCTGGTGTGTCAATATCAGCAGCAACATTGTCACCGTTGACCGCATCTTCATCATCCTGATCTGAAGAACTGGCTTTGCTAATACAGTGCCTACGAATCGGTACACCCTGAAAACCCCTACAAATCTTCATGACTCTTCCATCATCCAACATGTCTTCCTCTTCACCATCCAAAATGTGGTCATTAGCACAACCTGAAGAGCCAACTCTATGATTCTTCTTGGGACTTCTATCATCTGTTGTTTTCTTTTCAGCAACAATATACACATGGACCCGCTGGAAAAGCAATGTTGCTTCCAAAAACCAATGCCACGATTGATTGTTAGTGAGTGGAAATGAAACAAACAAAACTTGTCCCCCTGGAATCATTGACGGGTACCTTCCAAACAAGGTGAGCTTTGTGTGATCTTCAGTTGTGTTCATCGCAGTGTGCACTTCCGCCAAAAGCTCATCGTGCCTGCTCGTGCGACTCAAGAAACACGCAATTTTTGGTGGTTCTGAATAATCTACAGACTTGTGATCTCCGTGCTTGACCATTTCTCCGCCCCAAAACAACATTATAGGAAGTTGATCACCATTACCTACAGTCACTGTAGTGTCAATTACAGAGCTCCACGATGAAATGCAGCTGTTCATCATACTTGAGCATAGTACAACACGATAGGCTAACTATTTTGATCTACAACACCAGCAAACCCCATAAAATCCCGCGGAGTGGACCTAAGAAGGGTGAGAGTGTATAAATGTAATATTGCTAGATATACATACCAGCCATTTTATCCTTTGCTATCCCACTTCAAATGTGATCTGCACCTATAGTATAAACACGGGCATTGAATGACAAGTTTAATACTCCATAATAAACCTCCATACATACAATATCAGCACTATTTCAAAAAGAAAAAGTGAATGCTAATCTTAAGGGGCGATTGGAAGGAGGAAAAAATGAGTTGAAAATATAAAAAAAAAAAACACACAATTCAATCAAATTGACAAAATAAAATTTCCGACATTACACTTTTGGGGAGGGAACCAAACCATTCTGAACCATACAGTGATACAGTATGATTTAAGATATGAATGAATTGCAAAACCCTAAAATGCAAATTTTCCCGTCTTAAATAGGACTTACATAAAAATTAGAAGTTCATTTGGATTCCTGAGATTTTGAGAAGCTTAGAACATGCTACGGCGGGAGTATCATCACAGAATCACAGGCATTCACGGTATATGCAACCAAGTTAAGATCCGTTCAAAATTGCGGTGAAATCTTACCGTCGGTGACGAACGAAGCTGGTCGGAGGTAGAGAAGCACCGCGAAAATGAAGGCCGATGGCCGATGACGGAGCCGTCGATTGTTAACGACGCCGCGCGTTCAGAACGGTTTGGCCTTGGTAGTTAAGTGTGCTCCTGGGAAGGAAGGAAAGTGAACGTGAAGGTCAAAATGCGACGCCCTCAACTTAGAACGGTTACCGTTATCCTTTTTTATTTTTGGATAACTTGATTTTTTAACTTCTTTGGTATTCCGGATATGTTTACTTGTTTAGTTTGACTCTTTTTATTCTAAACAAGTATTTTATGATAATACAATTTTCTTTACCATTGAATACAAAGTAAAAAATATTCTTAAAAAATTATTCCAGTGTGATTTAATTTCTCTATTCTAAAAAATTAAGTTCTATAATTGGTCATTTATAACGAGTTTTCCCATTCAGTCTTCTATTATAACGAGTCTATCTATACATAGTTCTTTTTCATCTTCTGTTATGTTGGTGTTAATTTGAAAACTAAAAATGTAATTTCACAATAATAATAATATATCTTTCTTGTCATATACAATTTCAAAGGTCACTCTTGATGCGTCGTTTGTGAATTACAGTCGCTTTATACAACAATCATAGTCTGTCGATGTGGTCTTTCATCGAAATTCTAGCTCACAATCATAGTCATTATTTTTGTGTTATTCAACTAACCAATATCAGAATACGTCACTGGACATAAGCTTGATATCAAATTATACTTTTAGCCTTTAAATTAACATCAACATGGCAGAAAATTAAAATTGACGATCTAGGTGAAGAAGGCTGAGGTTGGGTTTAGAGATTTTAGAAAGTTTAAGAAGTAGTCATCAACTTTATCAATAGAGCACTGTACGGGCCCCTGGGTCATACCATAACCTTGTTTTTAAGGTAAAAAGATCCATTCTCATATAAAAAATACTCCGTAGATTTCAAACTACAAAATTTAAATATAAATGGGTTTCATTGATTTCAATCAAAAACATATCTAAAACATATATGTGTGTGTGTATATTATTTAAAGTATTTATTTATTCACTTTTAATTTTTATTACTTAAATTTTATTTTTTTTAAAAAGCAATATAATTGCTTTATAATCATAAAGAAAAAACTGTGGTGTAGAATTAATGATGATATATGCAAGTGGAAAGGATGAATATGGTAGTGTTTAAAGTAAAAAAAAAAACTGGGAAAAGGATGAACGGAGAACTAAGTTTGCATGCTAACTAGTAACTAGACTTACATGTGGAAGGGGCAGCTATCAACGTTGGTAGTCAGTCAGTCAGTCTTATGTTATATTTATGCTCTCTTGATGACATATATATAAATTGGTATTTTGAAAATGTTTATCGATACCAATTTACCTGATCTCAGTGATCGCCCGGTCGGATCCTCTCGGGAATGCGGCTCATCTTTTTCTTTTTCTTTTTCTTTTTTTTTTTTTGGAAATGCCCATCAATATATTTAAAATAAAAGCACTTTTGAAATATTCCCTAGTTAAAAGTGGCCGGTCAAGAGCAAGCAAAAAGGGGGGAAACCAAAAGGATGGAATATTACCAAAGTGCAACTGCAATGAAAACCGTACCACCAACTAGACAAGATGTCTGTTTGAAATGTGGTTGGGAGAGAAGAATTATTTATTTGATCATATCACGGCCGTGGCCGGACGCCGTAGTAGCAGGGGACGACCGTCAACAACCGCATAGCCTGGTGGCGAGATGGAGAGTGGACTCCTTCTCGATGTTGTAGAACCCGATCGTGCGGCAGTCCTCAAGCTGCTTGCCAGCGAAGATGAGCCGCTGGTGGTCAGCCGGAACCCCCTCCAAATCCTCAATCTGTTCCTTGATGTCAGCAATGGTGTCCGACGATTCCACCTCCAGGGTAAACCTCTTCCCAGTAAGGGTTTTCACAAAGATCTTCACTGTCGTCGTTGCCTCTCCGGTTCCCCTCGCCCGCTTCTTGTTCCGCCCCGCGCCCGTTCCGGATTCGGGCATTCTCGTTGCAACAACCACGTACACGTGAACCGGCTCGGAGACCACGTTTGCCTCAAGAAACCACTCCCACGACCGGTCGTCCGTGAGCGGGACCGAAACGAACATGAGCTTCCCTCTCGAAAGCGTCGTCTGGTGCTTCCCGAACAGAGTGAGGCTTTTCGAATCGGCTTCGTCATCATCCGCGTTCATTGCAAAGTGCACTTTGCGCACCAGATCGTCGTGGCTGCAGCCGCGATTCACGAAGCGCATTGTTTTCGGCGGCTCCGAGTAGTCTGCAGACCCCAGGTATCCGTTCTTTATGATTTCGCCTCCCCAGTACAACGCCACGGGTACTAGTTCGCCATTGCCTGTGTTAGTAATTGTAGAAATCACCCTAAATAAAATCGACTAAAACGTAGAAAAAATTACCAAAATAGGACTTCATGTTTCTTTTTCGAAATAAGACTTTGCACTGTGGTAATGTGCTTTGCATTGTGGTAATGTGACAGTGTACATGTGCACATTACTATACTTTTTTGGTAATGTATATGACCATGTTTGGTAATGTAAGTCTTATTTCGGAAATAAAAACATGGAAGTACGATTTTGATATATTTTCAATGCTTTATTCCTATTTTAGTCTCTGATAATTGAGAGCATATTCCCGGGAAAATAGATTTAATGTCACCATACCAAAGAAAATATCACACTTCGCTAATTCAAAACTCACGGGACATGTATTTATTTGTGTGTTTTTTGTTATACTCCGGAGTATATTTTAGTGTAATTAGAAAAACTATTTAACGAACGGTATCATAATAATCATCAAAGAAGTCTTGTTTCAAAGGAAAAGCTCTTGGTCGAAGGTAGAGCCTGAAAATCCATAATCAATTCATACATGTTCTTGTCAAAAATTTGAGTTTTATCCGATTAATTTTTAGATTGAACACCCAAAATAATCAATCTGAGAGTGTTAAACGACAAAAACTAGCAAACAACTCACCACTCAAAGACAGGTAAAGGCACAAGTTATTCAATTAAGACAAATTTTATGCTAGACCTGAGGTCCATCCATCATGGACTATATAGAAGCAAAATAAATATTTTTTAAAACTTAAGGATATTCGTTTTTTTAAATAAAAAAAATATTTTTTTTTTATGTGAAAACGATTTAACTCCTAACCTTCAATCTAATAAAACAGCTATAAGTAAGCACACAATATACAACTGCATGAACAAGATCTGAAATTCCAAACTGATTAAACCAGGAAAATAAGTAAAGACCCAAAAAGATTTCCAAACGGAGAGATCAATTTGATAGAATAAAAGTATCATCAAGAAAAGACAGAATTTAAAATTGGAAGAATTCATGTAATGGAACCAAATACAACAGAATCAGCGAGGAAGTTTGAACCGAGGAGAGGCTACCTGGTATGGAGTTTGATTTTCGGAGAGGTGGGACGAGGAAGAAGAGGAAGCAGCCCTGAAATCTTGAGGTTTCCTTGATTAAATAGTACTTTTATAGACCGGGTTTTAATATTTAATTCATATTTATTAAATATTATATTGACAATTCTTATTCATTGGGTATCATTCTACGTTTAGTCATCCATCTATTTTTTCAGTCTCTGTGTCGTTAGACAATGATCAAACATGAAATAATACACAATCAATAAGGACTACGAAAATAAAATTTGATAATATGGACCAAATATGAAAATTTTCCCGTTATAAAGGATTATTTGGAAAATTACTATTTTTAAAACCAATTTTAATATTGAAAGCACTATCTCTCCCTTTGAGTATTTTGTCCAATTTTAACCTTTTGTAGTCAACAATTTTTAACATTTAACTTTTAATTAAATAAAATATATATGATATATTTATTAAATAAAATAATATTTCAAAAATATTTTATAAAAAAATCCAATAAAATTATTTTTGTATCAATATCTAATATTAAATTTATTTAATTTGTGGTCAAAGATTGCTGATTTTGATATAAAAAAAACTCAAAAGTGGACCAGTACTTAGGGATGAAAGTAGTAATAAATATGAAAAGTATATGATTGTAGTTTGTATATAAAATGTCAAAATTATCATTAAAAATAATTTACAAAAAAATTTATTTTTAATATGAGAATTATCTTGGAAGATATAGAAATTAATAAGAAATTTGAAATCACCCAAAATAGGAGTAAATATAACATATATCCTCAAAATAAAAGTTTCATGTTTTTTTTTCAAAAATCAAATTTACGTTGTGACATAATGACATCATATAGTGGTATTATATATTGGCATTATTAGGATTATTTACTTATTTTGAAGGTAAAAAATTGAAGCTCATATGTTATCAAAAAGGGATAAAAGCTTCGATTTTAAAAAACCGGAAAACAAGAATTGAGTAAAGCGTAGGGCCACAAGCTAGACTCGGAAAATTCCGGTCCTAACAAGTTATTTTAACTTTTCTTTTGACAATATAGTTTGATTTGTATCTATTTCATTTTCTATCTATTGGGCATGTTTCAAAAAATTAAAATACTTTCATCAACAATATGATAATTTAAAATGAATTTTATAGTTCCATTAGTTTGTAGGATTTCAAAAATATTATTATAAAATTGTAGTTAAATTTTATGGTTCCGTTGGTTTGGAATTTTTATAGAATTACATCTACTTGAAGAGAAAAAAAGAAAGGAAAAAACATTGAACAATTGTGAAAAATATAGTGACTATGGTAAACTGAAAAAATCTTTGATTTATATGAAACATGACTAAAAATATAAGATGAAGTTATTTTGACACGTGAAGAAGTTGGAGTGGGATGAAATGCAACCAAATAAATAACATGAAGATGTATGATGCAATGACCATAGTAATCCCTCCCAGTGAGAAACCTCAAACAAAATCCAACGTCCTTACACTATATATTATCATTATGCCTTTCTGCATGCATAGTAAGCTAAACCACAGCCACATATCCATTCAAAACTTGAAGCCATTTATAGCTAGCATTCCATCTCCACAATTACAAGCAAAACCAAAGGCTTAATCAAGCGAGCAAGAAAAACTCAGTAGTGGAATGAACCCGCCATGGAGACTGAGGACGGGATCATGTTTGAACACAACTACTTGTAAGATAAGGTTCTTCATATGTTACACCTTTGTTGACTCTGCTTTTTGCACTCCCTCTGTCCCATGAGTTTTGGGAATGTGGGATTTCCCATGGATTAAGGCAAATTTGTGATGGACTGGAGAAAAAGTGATTGAAAAAGTAAAAGAGTAACAGCGATTTAAAAAAAAGAAATAGAGTGTAAAAATGATTTCAAATGTAGAAAGAGAATGTGTCAAAAGAACTTCATCATATATTTTAAGTCATGTGTCAACGAGCTACTAGATCGAAGACGTCTGTTTGAAAAATGTGGTTGGGAGAGAAGAATTTATTTATTTGTTCATATCACAGCGGTGGCCGGACGGACGAGAACGAGAACGAGAAGGAGAGTGGACTTCTTCTCGATGTTGTAGAACCCGATTGTGCGGCAGTCCTCAAGCTGCCCGCAACGGAAGAGGAGCTGCTGCTGGTCAGCCGGAACCCCCTCCGACTCCTCAATCTGTTCCTTGATGTCAGCAATGGTGTCCGACGATTCAACCTCCAGGGTAAACCTCTTCCCCATAATGGTTTTCACAACGATCTTCACTGTCGTCGTTGCCTCTCCCGTTTCCCTCGCCCGCTTCTTGTTCCTACCCGCGCCCGTTCCGGATTCGGGCATTCTTGTTGCAACAACCGCGTACACGTGGACCGGCTCAGAGACCGTGTTTGCTTCAAGAAACCACTTCCACGACCGGTCGTCCGTGAGCGGGACCGAAACGAACATGAGCTTCCCTCCCGAAAGGGTCGTCTGGTGCTTCCCGAACAGAGTGAGGCTTTTCGTATCGTCTTCGTCATCATCCGCGTTCATTGCAAAGCGCACTTCGCGCACCAGCTCATCGTGGCTGCTGCCGCGGCTCACGAAGCACATTGTTTTCGGCGGCTCCGAGTAGTCTGCGGACCCCAGGTATCCGTTCTTTATGATTTCACCTCCCCAGTACAACGCCACGGGTACTCGATCGCCATTGCCTAGAGAGCATATTCCCAACTTACAATTCCGTGGATTTTCTTTACTTAAATGAGTAAATTGTCCATGAATAAAGGTATTCCATACCTGCCATTACTTCTTCACAAGCTCTCTACTTCTATGTATTTGACTCTGTATCTGTAGGTATGCATTCATTAAGAACATAGATATAATACAGTCCCAAGGTGGAAAGGCCCAAAACTACTACCTCTCTTCCCAAGAAAATGTCACAGTTCACTAATTCAAAAATCACAGGAACATGTATTTATTTGTACGGTTTTTCATCAAAGAAGTTTGCTATGATAAAAGTTCCGTTTTAACGGAAAAGCTCTTGGTCACAGGTAGAGTTCGAAAATTCATAATCAATTCATACCTGTTCTTGTCAAAAATTTGAGTTTTAACCGATTGATTTTTAGATTGAACACCCAAAATAATCAATCTGAGAGTGCTACCCGACAAGAACTAGCATACAACTCACCAATCAAAGACAGGTAAAGATTTTCTTATTAGTTAAATGAGTATTCGATTTTTTTAAATAAAAAAAAAGATTTTTTTTTATGTGAAATCGATTTAACTCCTAACCTTTAATCTAATAAAACAGCTATAAGTAAGAACACAATTTACAACTGCATGAACAAGATCTAAAATTCCAAACTGATTAAACTTGAAAAATAAGTAAAGACCCAAAAAGATTTTCAAACGGAAATATCTGTTTGATAGAATAAAAGTATCATCAAGAAAGACAGATTTTAAAATTGGAAGTATTCTTGTAATGGAACCAAAAACAACAGATTCGGGAATCAGCGAGGAAGTTTGAACCGAGGAGAGGCTACCTGGTACGGAGCTCGATTCTTCCCAGAGGTGGAGACGACGAAGAAGACGAAGCAGTGCTGAAATCTCGAGGTTTCCTTAATTTATTTGACTCCTTGCAACAATAATTTCTTGTTAACCATAAATATCTTAAATAAGACTAAAATATAGACAGAATTTTAAAATAGGACTTTCATATTTTTATTTCTGAAATATGATTTTGCATTGTGGTAATGTGGTGGTAATATGGTATTGTACACGTACACATTACTATACTTTTTGGTAATGTAAACAACCACGTTTGGTGATGTAAATGCATTTTAACTCATATTTTGAAAAAAATTAATATATGAAAGTCCTATTTTGCTATATTTTCAATTTTTATTTACTATTTACAGGGTCAAATTTTATTTACTATGTTAGCGTATTTTCATTGCACATTTGATTAAATACTATAGTCATGTCGCCTTTAATTTTGTAGATCTATTCAAGCAGTTTTTAAATATTTAATTTTTATTTTTTTAATTCCATACGGGTTTTTATCTAAAATGATTTTAAAATAACTACAATCAACCACTATAACGCACAACGGGAACATTATTGTTGAACGCAGGGAGTATTACCTCCGGGCTCTATTAACTACTTTTTTCAATCAAAATTGTCAAATTTTGACCATTAATTAAATGAAAACAGTACTAAATATAGATATCAAAATGATTTTATTAAATCTATTTTAAACCGAGTATAATATTTTTAAAATTTTGTTCATCTAACTTATATTCCATATAAATTCTATTTAGTTCGAGACCAAAAGTTGAAAATAATTGACCGAAAAAATTAAAATTGAACAAATACTCAAAAAAAGATGTAATCTAAGTATATGACTCGGTTCAAGTTTTAAATTTGTAGTTGAAGGATTCTATTTAGAGGAGTGGTAGGAGGGCCCCAAGATTTTGACACCAAATACACACCAAGACCAATACAGATATTAAATGTCTGTGTGCTTGTATTAACCTTGGTGTGCAATTGGTGTCAAATGCTTGGAATTCCCCTCAGAATTTTGTTTTATTTATTGCAGTCGTACCTAGGGATGAACACTAGTCCAAAATAGACCGGATTGGAATTCAAAAAAAACGAAAATCAAGAATTTAGTAAAGTGTAGGGCCACAATCTAGACTCAAAAAATTCCGATCCTTACAAGTCCAACCTGGTTTTTTTCGGTCCTGATAAGTCCCAACCGATTTTTAATTTTTCGGTTCAATTTTAGACTAGAGAACTTAAAATCTATTTTTTTTAAGTTAGTTTGATTTTTTCGACTATATTTTGATTTGAATCTATTTCAACCCTTGCTTTATTTTTTCAATCTATTGGACATGTTTCAAGAAATTATATTCATATAAAATACTTTCATCAACAATATAATAATTTAAAAATAAATTTTATAGTTTCATTGATTTGTAGGATTTCAATAATATTATTATAACGTTGTACTTATAGTTTGTACTTATTTTCGAGTAGTTTCCTTGGTTTGGAATTTCTATAGAATTACATCCAGTTGAAGAGGAAAAAAAAAGGAAAAAACATTGAACAATTGTGAAATATAACCATTGACTTTTTAAAGGGAACATCGCAAGAGTCTCAATCTAGCCGGTGTCATAATATGACAAGCAATTTTAGGTTTCAATATAACCATGTCGGAAATCAAGAAACAAAATATAGAAATACATTTTCTTAACAATACAGGAGTACAATATTTTTAAAGGATGTTTACATAGTTTGACATCATCCAAATTAAAATAATTACAAGACATAAGTAGTACCTGTTAAATTAAGAGCATTTAAATATGTAATTTCAACCCTCCTAACTATTTGTCAAAACGAGAATTTTAATCAGCTCAAATGGCATTGAACCCAATATCATAGCATGACCTGAGTGCCATAACTCAACCATAATAATGTCAAGCAGAGTATAATACTATCCTCTCCATTCTTATACTGGAAACAAAGCAACATATATATGGCAGCAGCTAGGAACAAAACCAACACGAAATCCTAAATTTGAACATGGAAGCCAGCACTCAGCAACCTCCTATCCCAGTTTACTCTCCATCAACTTTAGCAGGTTTGTCTTGTTCAAAGAGAGAAATTTTCTTTGCAAGGAATCCTGAGAATTAATGGACATCATGGGATAAGTGTTAGGATGCAGTTGTTTTGCAAGTCGTAGTGGGCAACTGTGTGGTTGTCAACAAGCGTGTTGCTGCAGTAGAGCAGCAACTGTTTGCACACTAGGAAGCCTTTTATGGCCTTGATCATTGCCTTCAAATCGTAGATGGTGTTGCCCAATTTCACCTTGAGGGTAAATGTCTTCTTTGAATACATCAAAGAGATTTTCAACGTTAGGCTTGCAGTATTATCCTCCCACTTGTTCTTTCTTAAATCGACCAAACAAACCAACATTTTCCTCAGTCTTGAAGATAAATCTGGGTGCTTGGACAACTTTGACATCTCATTAAAATACATGTCCATATCAGTTTCCTGCTGCTTCACTCCAGGCCTGTCCATGGATTTACCAACTCTATACATCATGACGCACAGGGCTTCAATCTCTGCCTCATCTGGATTTTCATACTCCCAAAGTATTTTCATGATGCAGTTATGCACAATTCCTTCTTCAAGAATTTTTTTCGTGTAAAGTTCTCCAATTAACTTTGCATTGCCCAGGTTGAATATCTTCCACCTACGACATCTCTGATCATCTCCACGTTTAAAGCCCTCTTTGCCATCCTGAAGTTCTTTTTGGCAACATTCCGAAAGGCAACTTGCAAAGTTGAGGCACTTACCGTCCACAGGTAAATCCAGGCAATGTAGAGTTGAGCAGAACACAAATATCTACCAACATCTCACAAAAAACATGATCCCTCATAGCTTCGTCGTATGCTATTCTAACAAAATCAACAAGAGATTTAGCATTGTCTATGTTAGCATCCTTCACTTGCTCAAGTACCCGCTTAGAATTTTTAGGAGTTAAGGAATTCAAGATATCTGTCCACCATCTCTTCTTTTCGAATTCTCCTGGAGCACCAGGTGTAGCAAAAACAGTGGCTCGTATGGGTAAGTGATTCAACCTCGTCGTCGTTTGGTCCTCTCTACCAGCAACCAAAAAATCAAAAGCAGCGGCAGCTGGCGTAGCTGCTGCAGCGGCGGAAGAGGGATTTGTAGCACCAACAGCATCAGTAGCATCTGCAGCACCTTGTGTATAAGTGTGACATGGATTTGTAGCGATAGCGGCATTGGTAGCAGAAGCAGCAGCTTGTGTCGCCGTGGGAGAGGGATTTGTATGGGGAACGGCATTTGTGGCAGGGGGAGCAGCTTGTGTAGCAGTGGGAGAAGGATTTGTAGTGACAACGGTATCTGTAGCTGTAGTAGGAGCATTACCACCATTGAGTGCACGTTCGTCTTCCCGATATGAAGAACTGGCTTTGCTAGGGTTGTCCTTCCAAAGCCTACTAATCTTCCGGACTCTTCCATCATCGCCAACATTGAATTTGTCTTCGTTTTCATCATCCGAAGTGAGGTCAATAACATTTCTAGAAGTACTGACTCCATTACTACATCTCTTGAGAAGCGGTTCTCCACGCACAAACTTCTTATCGACTGTTATTTTTTCAGCAGCAACATACACATGAAGTGGTGGGAAAAGCCATGTCGCTTTCAAAAACCACTCCAAGGATTGATTGTTAGTAAGTGGAAATGGTTCATTCACAACTTGTCCATCAGGAATTCTCAACGGGTACCTTCCCAACAAAGTGAGCTTTGTATCATCTGGAGTTGTGTTCATTGCAGCGTGCACTGCCATCACAAGCTCATCGAACCTACTGTTGCGACTCAAGAAACACACAGTTTTTGGCGGCTCTGAATAATGTATAGACTTCTTATCCCCGTAGTATACCATTTCTCCACCCCAAAATAAGTTTACAGGAAGTTTATCACCATTACCTACATTGAACAATGCAGTTACAGTATCACTTATAGGCTGAAAATATGCCTACATTGAACAATATTGATGTATAATTACAAATTTAATATGGCTATCTACATACCTGCCATTTTATTTTCCACTTCAAGCGTGTCGTGCACCTAAATTTGAAAATGTTTTTCAATTAAAAATTTAGCAATAAATCTCAAGCAGTACTATTTCAACATTATTTCAAAAGGGAAAAAGGAAAGGCTTGTCTTAGGGGGGGCATTCACAATGAAATTACAGTCAGAGTGGAAAGTTTTTAAAAAAAGGTTAAAAGATGAGAAATCTTTTCCCCAATTTGATATCCACTTGTTAACAGTCAAAATAAAGCCATTTTCCCTAGTTTTCTTACTTTTCCTTCTTGAGAGGGCAGTTAATCGAATAAAATTTAATTTTAAAAAAGTAAACAATAAACCCTAAAATGCAATTTTTTCCAGCTATTGTAAATATTACTCACTCCGTAGTTCACTGGGATCCAGGCGGGTTAAATCTGCACATATTGTCCCAGGACCAGAGTAAAACAAATACTACAATTAAATTACTGTAAAAATGCATTGAAATCTTACGGTTGGTGGCGAGAAGCCGGTCGGAAGTGGAGAAGGGAGAATGCCGGTGACGGAGCTCTCACGGCTGCCGGACGTTCAGAAGGGTTTTCTGCTCGGGGAAAGTAAAGTGAATTAGTAGTACGGAGTAGTATTCTTTCCTGCGCGTCTATTCTTACTCCGCATAATCTTGAAGAAGAGAGTCAAAGGGTCGCTGGTTTGAATGGTTATTGAGTTAGGCAGCCTTTTAGGCTTTCTTTTTTTGCTTCACAAAATCTCATATGGGAAGTCCAAAAACCGGAGTATAACTTCAATATAAAAACTATAGTGTTGGCCAAACATCACTCATATCGTTGAGAATTTGAGTCTACTGCTTAAGAGGAAGTAGTTGGGACAAAATGGAGTCTTTACTTCTAGGAGAAACATGTGTGTTATGTATTGAAAGGTGGAACGCCAACCCTAGGCGTCCCCACATCCCGGCCCGACAGGATTGTGAGGGGATAATTCATAATATAATATCAATATGATCCTTAAAAAGGATACCCCGTGCCTGGTGCGCAAAAAGAGCTATTACAAATAATAGAATTCCCACAACTATGGTCAACTATGGTGTTGATTAAATAAACACAAATACCTCATAAAAATAAATAAACACAAATACCTTTCAAAAAAATAAATAAATAAACACAAATACTCCGTAAATCCTTTGTTAACTAAAATAAGCACAGGTGGTCCATGTCTTAAACACAAGTCAAGTCACTTGAATGAATACACATTAATTAACATATACTACAAAGAAGTTCAAAAAAATAACATATACAAAGAACATTTTACAAGAGAAATGATATTGACAAAGTTTGATTAGTACTAATAAGTACAGACACATACATGGATCACCACATAAAGGGTGAAGATAAGGTGAAGGAGTAGTCCCTTTGAATAAACCTGAATAACCCCTTGGTTTATTCCCAAACATGAAACATAAGATGTGTGCGCGGTGCGCTCATAACTCAACCATAATTCTCTATTCTTATAATGGGAATAAAGCAACAATAAGGCAACATCTAGGAACCGAAACCGACATGAAATTATAATTTGGGCATGGAGATCATCAACCACCGATCCTAGTTACTACTCTCTGGCATGTTTGTCTTGTTCATTGAGACAACCTTTGTTCCCGTCAAATCCTGAAAAATGTTTGTCTTGTTCATTGAGACAACCATTTTTCCCCGTCAAGTCCTGAAAACTAATGCATGTTGTGAACTTGTATGGTGCAGTTGTTCTGCAAGTTGTAGTGGGCAACTGTGTAGTTGTCTGCAAGCTTGACGACATTGTAGTAGAGCCACTGCTTGCACATCAGAAAGCCTTCCTTGGCCTTGATCATTTCCTTTATATCGTAGATGGTGTCAGACGATTTGACTTTGAGAGTAAATTTTGGTTGCAAGCCACCAAAGTCCATCACTTTGATATTCAGGGTTAGGTGGCTTGGGTATGCAGGTTTATGCTGCCACTTGTTCTTTCTCAGATCAACCAAATCAACCAAAATATTCTTCAATTTAGAAGACAAATTTGGGTGCTTGGACAATCTAGAAATCTCTTCAAAATACATATCCATATCTGTTGGCTTGTTAACTTCGGGGTTATCCATGGATTCACCAACTCTGTACATCAAGTTGCAAAGGACTTCAATATCTGCCTCGTCTGGATTTTCATACTCCCATAGTATTTTCTTGATGCAACTATGCACGATTCCTTCTTCTACCAGCTTTTTCATGTATAGTTCCCCAATTAATTCTACATTGCCCAACTTCGATTTCTTACGTATCCAGTCATCATGAACTGCAAAGGCTACATCTCCTTTGCCTCTCTGAAGTTCCTTACGACAACAATCTGAAAGACAACTCGTAAAGTTGAACACCTTATTATCCATGAAATACGCCGGCAACATATTGTCAAGAGGAGTGATATTATCTACCAACATCTCACAGAAAGCAGGATCCATCACAGCTTTGTTGTATGCTATTTGAGCCAGAGCAGCAAGACATTCAGCACTATCAATGTTAACATCTTTCACTTGTTCTAGCACCCGCATAGAATTTCGAGGAGTTAACTGGCTGAGGATAACTTCCAACCTTCTCTTCTTTTGCTCATCTCTAGCGGCTGTAGCAGCAGCATTGCCACCATTGAGTGCATGTGAAGAACGGGCCTTGCGAGTGTTGTGCTCGGGAAGCGGATTAACCGGTAAAACCCTACGAATCTTCCTCACTCTTTCTTCGTCAACAGCATTGGCTCTGTTTTTGCCTTCAACACCCAAAGTGTTGTCATTAGCATCCAACCTCGAAGAACCAACTCCATTAGCACAACGCTTAAGAAGAGGTCCTCCCTGCACAACCCTCTGATTCTCCTGGACACTTGAACCATTTGATATGTTTTCAGCAACGACATACACATGCACTGGCTGGAAAACCGATGTTGCTCCCAAAAACCACAGCCAGGATTTATTGTCAGTGAGCGGAACAGAAACAAATAGAACTTGCCCGCCCGGAATCATCGATGGGTACCTTCCAAACAAAGTGAGCTTTGTGTCATCTTCACTTGTGTTCATTGCAGTGTGCACTTCTGCCATAAGCTCATCATGCCTGCTGCTGCGACTCAAGAAACACATAGCCTTCGAGGGCACTGAATAAGTTACAGACTTGTGATCTCCGTAGCTTACCATTTCTCCACCCCAAAACAACATTACAGGAATCTGGTCACCATTACCTACTTTGAACAAGGCAGTTCCCGTATCACTTATGCGCTGAAAAAATATACTCCTCCATTCCATAGTACAACACATGCAACGGGGTAACAATGCTCATTTATAGACACAAATTTCACAAATTTAATATTGTCGGATACATACCTGACATTTTATCCCTTCGTTTTCCACTTCAAGTATGCCGACTGTTGCGCACCTAAGATTAAAAAGAGGTGTTGAATTAATAGTTTAATAATATGACTCCAACAGTACAATCTAAACATTCTATGAAAGGGAAATAGGAATTACTTATCATCAGGGGGCAATTAGTACAATCACAGTGAAAAGTAAAAAATTCAAATAAAAAATTAAAGGTGAGAAATCATTTCCAATGCCGGTTCCACCGTTTGATATCTACTTTGATAGGGAAAAAAATTAACAGTCAAAATCAAACCAATTTCCCTAATTTTCTTAGTGCAAGCAAATAAAACCCTAGAATGCAAAGGGGAAATATCACAGAATTACAGTAGAACAGTAATTGTAACCAATACAAATTATAAAGATGGAGTGAGATCTGACGGTTGATGAAGAAGGAAGTTGGTCGGAGATGGAACCGCAGCGTGAGAATGAAGTCTGAAGGACGGCGGCGGAGCTGTCACCGCCACCGCGCGTCAGGTTTTAGCGTTGGATCGGACGATGAAGTTGGTTCCACACACACACCCTGGAAGAGTGAAGACCAATGCTGCTACATTTGACTTTGTTTGCAATTAGCCTTTGACAACAATAATTTTCAATTAGTAGTACTTTAAATACCTTTGAAATAAATTTAAAAATATTAAAGTTAAATGTTGTCATTATTTTTTTTTAGAATTTGTCATTAGATTATATCTTTAAAATTTTAAAGTTAAATGCGGAAATTATTGACAAAACATGGAGTATATACGAATTTACTTTTATATTCGAAAAGATCAAAATTGATCTGAAATTTTAATCAAAGTCTATCCAAATCAATATAGACCAATTCGTATCCAAACCAATAGCCTTCTTTTGAATTTAATAGTATCAAAACTTAACTCAAATTAAATCACATTGACTCGAACTTAACCCAATGCAAACTGAACTCAAACTTAACTAGAAATTTGTTAACAATAAATATCACTTGATCTGAATTACAACCAACTCGCACACAATATGAATGACTTGTGCACCAAATCCATTTGTAGCTAGGGGTAGACACACACGTTTCCATTTCTAGGACCAGCGATTCTCGGTGGACACTGGACACACACGTTTTCATTTCTAGGACCAGCGATTCCCCGTTCTTAAAAGGGAGGGATTAGAATCTGACCGTACAGTTCTAATTTTGTTCCATCGACAGTTTCAGTTTCGATTCATTTATATTGTTATTCCTATTAAAGAATATACAAAACAGTAAAACACATAAACATTTTTTTACACCAACATCATATTATGACACTTGAGCACCATAGGATCTTTAAATAGAACAATGTCATATAATGGCATTGACATTGGCTCCAACTGCTAGTGTACTTACTGTACTCCTTGCATTGCTCATATCCAAGTCTTTTAAACACAAGTCAAGGCATTATTTGAATGAGTACACATCAACATTACAAAGAAGAAAATATTACAAGATACAATATTGACAAAGTTTTATTAGTAAATAACAAATCTCTACTCCACGAAATCGAATGTGTCGATAGAATCGGATTCGTTAGGATTATGAACCATCCGATCAAAGATCCTCCCGTGCTTCGGGTGCCGAACAATGGCCTCCAAGATCCTATCTTCCGACCCCCGGAGCCCCTCCCCTCTCCTGCCACCGTCGCGGACCCCACCATCCGACGTGGAGAACACCAGCTCAGACAGCAAGTCCTTCTTGGCCTGCCAGCTGAACTTCTTGGCCTCCATTGTCGACGAAATCAAGTGGTATACATGCACGACCTTCGTCTGCCCTAGCCTGTACGCCCTGCTCAAAGCCTGCCTCTTGACCGACGGGTTCCAAACCACGTCCAGCAGAACCACCCTGGATGCCCCTATGAGGTTTATCCCCTCAGAGCAGGCCCTTGTGGAGGCCAAAAGCACTTTCGCCTCACTGCCCGGGTCGTTGAACGTGTTGATCGCCACCTGGCGCTGTTTGCACTGCACGTCGCCGTCCATGTACAGCACCTCCCTCCCCTCCACCCAATCCAAAACTGCCTCCATCTGTTTCTTGAGGAGGTCCAAGGGGGAAAGGTACTGGCTAAAGACTATGACCTTCTCTGAGTTCAAGTGGCTTAACCGGATGAGCGCGAACACGAACTCGGTCTTCGGGCCCGCGTCCGGGTCAAGCTCAACCGCCTCCATTTCGGGCTTGAACTCGGAGAAGCCCGGGACGTCCTTGACAAGGGAAGGGTGGGCGGAGATCCTAGTCATCAGGTTGTCCTCTTCAAAGAACTTTCTCTGTGGGGTGACTAGGAACATCCTCTGTTGCAGGGGGGTTGGGTTTAGGTACACCAATGTGGACCGTAACCCGGGGAGACGGTCTAACAGTATAGATCCTTTGTGGACATGGACCAGAGGGGCAATGATGCTCTTGAGCTCCCCCACGTCCGGGTTTTTTTCCTCCTCCATGATAGAGGTCGTGAGGCGGTCCCACACCTTCTTCCCCGAATTCCTCTTCAGAACGTACTTCGGGCACACGAGGCGTAGCGTGTTGTACAGCTCGTCGAAGTTGTTCTGGAAAGGGGTTCCGGAGAGGATGATCCGGCGCGGCGTCTCAAGCCTTGAGAGTGCATTCCAAAGGAGGCTCCCGTCGTTCCTCGGGGTGTGCCCCTCGTCGAGCACCACCAAGCTTGGGACATTGAGGAGTATCTTCCTCACCCGGTCGTCTTCGCGGTTCTCGTTCACCCTCACGAGCTGCTCGAAGAGCCGGTAGGAAATGCCCAAGATTCCGGACCCTTTCGCCCACGCACAGAGCTTGAGCACGCGCTTCGACTCCCACCCCTTGGGCTCGTAGGGGAGGGCGAATCCGTCCGCGGCGTGGGCGAATTCCCTCCCGGACAACGCGCGGTTGTTCATGTTGTGGAAAGGGATGTCGACCTCCCACTTCTTGAACTCCGCCTCCCACGTGAGGAGCATGCTGAGGGGGGCTATGATGAGGGGACGGCACGTGGGGAAGAGCTTCATGAATGAGAAGAGGAAGGTTATGGTGAGGCGCGTCTTCCCCGTGCCGGGGGCGTGTGAAATGATGCAACCCTTCCCGCCGTCCGGCGTCAGCTTCTTCAGATTCTCAATGTGAATGTCCCCCGCGATGTTCCTCCACAAGAACTCGAACCCCTCGCGCTGATGCGGATACATCGTTTCTTTGATACGCCAAGGAAGAACGTCCCACACTGTCCCTCTGGTTGCATGTTCAACAAATTGTGTGTTAGTTGAATATGTAGAACCACAAGCTTGAGTTTTTGGTTGAGTCGTTAAAGAACTAACTCAAGCAAAAGCCCTAGCGCCACAAGTCTGAGCTTTTGGTTGATGTGGTAATAAAGAACTCACCCAACCAGAAGTTGAAGCTTGTGCTTGTAGACTCCAAGAAAATGGGAGATTATATAAATGACTGTAATGTATTATTACCCTCCATCAGAGATTGAAGAGCAATGGGGGGTCCCAGCAGCCCCAGACGCCGGAAGGCCATAACCAAAAGTATGGTCGTATCCATCAAAGCATTTCGCGTATCGTCTCCCACCAGTTTTAATGGCCTGCGCAGTGCCATTGAAAAATGAAATCTTTTTACACTATCAGTGAAGTCAATAGAAGAGAAAAGCACGAAAGGCCAAAGGCTTACAAATGAGGGCAGGATGAACCTCCTCTCGCGGTGCACGAATGAACAGTGCTTGCAAATCAGCCCAATCTGCTCGTCTAAAATCAGGAAGTGTTTCCCCTTTTTGCAGCAGACTGCTGGAGGGTCGTCTTCGTTCTCTTCATAATTGCTGCAATCATCTTCTGCCTGCACATTTTAACAAAGAAACCCATTTTTTTAAAAATAAAAACAAATGGATGGGAATGTTTATACATGGGATCCCACTGGGTTCTTGTTCTTGTTGATGCTTAAATGAGTATTCTGTAAAATGCAAATCTTGATTACAAGTTTACAACCGACAAGAATGAAGAAGCTAAAGCATCACAATATCAACCAACCATAGGTTCAGTGGTCAAGCTCTCTTTGACTTCCTCAAGACTTGATTGAAGATCCGCGAAGAGGCTCTCGATGTCTTTCTCCCATTTGCTTTTCTCTGGGGGAGAAGGATCTTCGTCCTCAAACCAGAACTTTAGAGGCAACGGCCATTTCACGTTCTCTTTGGAAAACGGCATCTTTTTCTTGGTGATGCCTGCATCCCCCCATAGTGAGTCCAAAATCATTTTCTTGAGCTCGAAATCTTTCGTCCCACATTTCGACATCTTCATTCTGTGAGGACATTTTACTCTTTTTCTCTTCTTTCCGTTGTGATTCTCTGCGTGTTTTGCCTCATAGAATGAAAACTTCTTTGATTGCTCTTCCTTGGAAGCAGGGGAACTGTTTTTAACATTTTTGTGTTTCTTTCCATTGTGGGACCTTATCGCGCTGTCGTTGTTCTTGTTCTTATTCTTGTTGTTTGGTTTCTTTTTCTTGATTGTGAACTCGGGGACCGAACATGATCTTAGACGAAAAGCAATGCCTAAGTGCGCTTTACCGGTCCTTATATTGCATTTGCTCTTCTTTTTCTTCTTGTCAATCTTTTGTTTGATAACAAAGTCTTCCTTCGCAATCCAAGTGACATCATCATCTTCATCGTCTTCGACATCCATTGGACAAACATTGGAGCATTCCATTTTCTTCTTGAAGTTATATGTTTTACTGCCCTCATCATCATCCCTATCTGTCAACATTATTACTCTTGAAGTTATATGACTATCCAAGAAGGAAACGCGACCACCATCGTCACAGCCACCATGGTTGGGAACCTTCTCACATCCCTCTTCCTCCATTTCATGATCAAACACTTCTTCACCTTCACCTTCTGAAGTAACATTACCATTCCCAATTTTCTCCTTCCCCATTATACCCTTCTTCACGTTCTTCGAAGATTTCAGCAAAATATCACTGCAACCAACAAAACCAGCATTGCTCTCACTATCTTTCTCCTTCACACTCGCCCCTCGGTTTCCTTCAAGAATTTCTCCCACCATTTCATCTTTAGAACTGCGATTTTCTTCCTCGTTTTCTGAATCAACCCTGCTGTTTCCCTTGATTGTAAACTGGGAGGCCGAACGTGATCTGAGACGAAAAGCAATGCCGAAGAGGGCATTGTTGTTCCTTACATTGCATTTGCTCTTTTTTATCTGCTTGTCAAGCCTCCGTTGATGGTGATCTGAATTGATTACAATGTCTTCCTTCGCAATCCAAGTGACATCATCATCATCATCTTCTTCTTCTTCATTGTCTTCGACAGCCATTGGACAAACACCATCACCATTGGAGCATTCTATCTTCTTCTCCACCTTTTCATCATTCTTCTCCTTTGAATTACCCATATCGCCCTCATCCATCCCATCATCTTCATCAACCCCATTTGTCAACATTATTTCTCTTGAAGTTAAACAGTTATCCAAGAATGGAACATGATCACCATCATCACAGCCACCATTATTGGAAATCTTCTCATTTGACGTATGGCAACGAGATTCATATCCCTCTTCCTCCATTCCATGATCATGCACTTCGTCACCACCTTCACCTTCTGAATCAACACCGCCATTCCCAATTTTCTTCTTTCCCATTATACCCTCCTTGACGTTCTTTGAAGATTTCATCAACATTCCAACACTGCTCCCACAATCTTTCTCCTTCACACTCGCCACCGGGTTTCCCCCAACAATTTTTCCCGCCATTTCATCTTTAGAAACGCGATTTTCGTCCTCTTTTACTGAATCAACACAACCATTTCCGATATTCTCTTCCACAACCAACCCCTTTTTCACGTTCTTGGAAGATTTCAACAACACTTCACCACAGCCGCGATCACGAAAACTACTGTTTTTTCCAATGACACCATTCCTCCTCCTCCTTTTCTTACTCTTCTTCAATTTGTCATCACTCTCCTCCTCCTCCTCTACACTCACCGCGGGTTTTCCCCCAAGAATTTCATCCGCGGGACTGTCATCTTCTTGATCCTCTTCATCAATGGCCACTACAACTGGAAAGCTGTCACCTTTTCCAGGACAAGCAATATTGCTGGTCTGGTTTTGCTTCTTCTTCCTCTTCTTCTCCTCATTCCATTCCCTGCAAAAGTCACCCCACTGCCTCCTCGTATATATCCTCCTACTATAATCCATTCCTGTACCTAAACAAGTAACAAAACAAAACACCCAAATCAGCCCAATAAAAAATAAATTCCAAAACAATTAAACGCGTAAAAGAAAACCTCCCAATGGAAAATGTCAAAAAAAAAACCCCACACACTCATCTCGTACCAATAAATGATGTTCATCAACTGAACTAAAATGCAATTTCAAACCCAAAAAAGAAAAGAAAAAAACTCATTTTTATCTGCAAGGGACCAATTGCAAGTACTTTTATAAGAACACAGAAACACCCAAGAAAGATCAATCGCATGCATTGATAAACAGAGCTCAAAGATAAAGGGGAAAAAATCTAACCGGAGACGACAATGGCGGAAGAGTCAGCGAGTCACCCCACCATTTTTGGCGAGGAGCTACAAGAAGAGATAGAAAGGACCTTTAACTCCTTTAAGTGGCTAGCTAGTGCCCCCATTTGGGTCACTCACACTGTTCACAGTACCTGTTTGGACTTTGGAGTAGTTTTTTTTAATGAGAAAAGTGCATTTACTTCGGTCCTGCTAGGGTACCCCAAATGAACACCATGTACACCCCTCCTCATTCCATAACCAACCCTATTCTCATCTCTCCTTCTCACTCTTTCTTCCTCCTCTGATCCATGAACTCCCTCCCTCCCTGCACCAGGTAACATCATTTCCCTTTCTCACTCATTTTCTCTTCCTCCATAGATTTCGCATCTCTCTTCCTCCCCACCGGTCGATTAGCTTCATCTTCGGCACCCCCTGAAGTTGCACGCGGCTCCCCGCAGCCGCCTAGAAGCGTCACAACGGTGCCATCATCATCATCGTCGTCACCGGAGCAGTAAATTATGGCAGAGATGGTGGTGCTGTTTTATTCAGATTACACAAATAGTAAATGTCTGTGTTCAAAAAAATAAGGACATTTAGTAAATGTGTGACTAAATAGTATTAATTGTAATTTTTCTTTTCTTTTTTAAACGTAGAAAAATTTGTGAAATGTTCTTGGTACTGTACTATTTCATAGATTTGAAGGGTGAAATTTTCTTCTAAATTACACAAATAATAAATGTCTGTGTATAAAGAATTACAGATTTTTAGTGTTTGTGTAACGAAACATTGGTAATTATAATTTTTTTTCTTTTTTACAATCAAGAGTAATTGTGAAACATTATTTACTATAGCATTATTTGGTATATTTGAAATATGTAATTTTTAATTTAGGTTTTACAGACAATAAGTTTCTGTTTACGATGAATTACAGACACTTGTTGTCTGTGTGACCAAAACATACTTCTTACTTAGTT